GTCTCTCTCTCTCTCTCTCTCTCTCTCTCTCTCTCGGGAACAGGGGCCCCAATATCAACGATTTCTCTCTAAAGACATCTGCACTGTGCATCTTTCTCCAGTTGTACCCACATTTCAAACAGTAACACGGTACAGAAGTACAAAAATTACTGCCATAGCTGTATGTAAATTGATGTTTCACTGATAGAGCACTGAAAGAAGGAATCTTACAGTTTATAGAATGTTCTTTAATGCTGCCTACCATTTCACAACCTGGATATAGACAGATGGATGGATGGATAAATATATTGATAGGTAGGTAGGTAGGTAAGTAGGTAGGTAGGGATGTAGGTAGGTATATAGATAGAAACGTGATCTATCAATTTGCTCTTACTATGTCACATTTGAACTTGCTATATCAACAAAATAACGACTGTTTTTCTATTTTCAAAAAACCCCTTAAGTTGATTTTTGATTTGTTATTTCTACCTATTTAACTGCTTTCGTACTCATTTTCAGACTTACAGTTAATTTTTAATACTCTTTTCTTTCCTCATGCTTTTCAGGGCATCTACTTAATGGGGAGGAATCGGCCCACCCTCAACCTACACTGAGACATCCACTGTTTACAAGCTGAGCTTACGTATGTCAATCTCCCCCTATAGTAAATGTTGCCAAAGTTTTACTAGTTTTAGTTGTTGTAAAGCATTTACCTTACAGTTGCAGAATATCTTTACAAAAACTCAAGCTTGACATCACATGTGTGCATAAAATACATTCAAAACATTTTACAGAGTTTGCTGAAGCTTGATTTTTGCATTTTAACTTTTTACTGCCCCCAGCCTTGGAAAGGAGGGGTCACACTGTGAAATACAATGGAGTCCACTTAAATGGAATTACGGTTAATCTGAAAATAGCGTTTCACTGAAAGAAAATAAAGTCCCCAATCTTTTTACTTCTATTTAAGAGCCTTTCTGTTGCTGTAATCTGGGTGCAGAGGAAAAGTGGAGTGGATATTTCTAGAGACAGTCAGAAAGACTTGTGTGGGATCGTGTTTACTGGACAGAGCTTATTAGAGCTGGGTACTTCATCCATATTTATTTCTATTCCTTTTCTTTTTCTGTAATGTAGTAGTGACTGTTTTATACTGATTATGTGTTACAGAAAAGATGAATGCAGCAAAACATTTTAGTTTTCAGCCTCCATCCCCTCTGATATCAGAATTTACTGCTCCATGCTTGTGCTCGCTTTCATGGTGTTTTCCAAAAACTATAGGGAGCCTCAAATTATCCTGTAGTAAATTTTATTACACGTCTAATGAAATGTTATCCCTGGCACAAAATTATGGTGCAAATAAGTTTCCACAGAGTGTCAAGAAAAGTGCCCCCCTTTAATGGGTTTTCAAAAATTTTGCTAATGGTCACTGCTTATTTACAAGTAACTTTTAAAACTATAACTCGAAATGCTTTTTCATCCAGATTTTGATGAAAGATTAAAAAGCCAAACAAATAAGATGTGTTTATAGATGAGAATATAGATCCCAGTGGTTGCCAACAAGTGCAGGAGAAAAACTCCTTTGTATTTTGCTGTTAGAAAATGGTGCAAAGGCTTTTGGTTAATAGCCTGTGTTGCGTCTCTTTAAAGACTGTAACACTACTCAAAAAGGGACCCCAATTCAGTTGCAGTGAACTCTGTAATCTTGTTTCTATTTCTTCTTTTCCCTGTCAGCTATTCTTGGTGTTTGGGAGAGACAACAGCTGCAGCCAAGGGAATGTAATGACCCTTGACCTTATTGACCCATTTGACCGCCATCCTGGTGAGTTGAAATATTGTTGATATTGAGTCAACACAATAGGAGTCTTGTGTTGTGAAGAGGCGGACTAGCACCAGGTGCCCATTGGTAGGACGGGATTGTGTCGGGTAATGTTGATTTAACACTTTGCCATCATATTTTAGGAAAAAAAAAAAGAAACTGGGTGGTAAACATCGCCAATTGGCGAGATGAGGCGGCAAAGTGTTAATAGTGGGTTCAGTGCAAACTGTGTATAGACCTCTGCCTTACTACATCAAATTTGACTCGCATGTCAAAGCAGGGAAAACATTGATCTCTGGTGATTGTGTAGCTTGGGGTAGAGGTTTTATCCAGTGTCTCGTGGTGTTGATGTACATAAAACATACCATTTAGAACATAAATATTTCCTTCAATAGTGGCTTTACTGCATATGGCAGTTACTGTGTTGAGAGATTCTTGAATCCCACAGACATGGGAAATTTCCATAGCTTTCTACCAATATCTCCGAATCAACACCGTCCATTATAGCATTCTGTGCGCAAACAAAAGATCTCACCTTGATTTTGTGATTTGTAGGCTACAAGCCTTGTGATTAGCCGTTACTCACCTGACAAATTAAATGCATATAATTAGTTACTTTGAAAAACAAACGTATTTAAATTTGATTTTGAAAGTCACCACCTATTATCATTCCAAAAAGGAAAATCTGGCTAGCCCCGACTATATATACATACACACCTTCTCTGCCATCACACAGTCCTCGATGGCAGACCCATTTCTATTTGAATGTGCACTATTTAGTGTGGGGTGGGGGGAGGGGGCAGGGGTGTTGTGTTACCTATTGTGTTGGTGTTGTGTGTGTGTGTTCACGATTTGGTTGTGTGTTTGTATTGGAAGGATGCTCTAAATTCACATTTTGTTCTACAGAAGCATGCAAGAGAACACTGTCAATTTTTTTTTCCATGGAGATTCAATAAAATATACCTATATCTTAGTTTCCTTTATGTTTAGCTCATGTGATGGCCCAACAAGACAGACGACCGCTAGCCTTCTGACACCCGTACCTCAGGGACAGCTTGACCCAGCAGGAGCAGGAACCTGGCCAGAAGCTGCCTCCCATTAGCAGAGGTGCCCGTGCAGTCACACAGAGCCCACTGGTCATCACTTCATCATCCTCTTTTGAGCTACCCAGAGAGTGGAGGGTCTGGTATGGACTCTGGCCCTCTAGACTGGCCAGTGGGTGACCGTCGTAGCGGAGACATACACCTGCCTTTTATCGCAGACTTGTACGATATAGTGAGTATCACTTCTCCTCGGCAAGGTGTTTCAGGGGTGTGGCATACAATCTGCTTGACTTTGAAAATAATAACTCTTTTCAATCTTATTGCAAGATTTGAACTCCTTCGACTCCATGCTTCGATGAAGTTCAAGTAAAAAATTCCATGAGTAATAATGTTTATTGAAATTATTAACACAGCAATCTCAGTTTTAATCTTTGTAATTTTTTTGACTGAACTGTAAATGTAGATTTCTTTTAGTTCATTAGTGATTTCCACCTTACGGTAAGGTACATGTATAAAAAAAATAGGCTCTTTTGGATGTTGCAGACATTATAGTTTATGACAGATTTATGAGGAATGAAAATCAATCATTGGAAACTGGAAACTTATTCCATGAAAAGGAAGATCGATATACAGTGGAGTCAGCTTAAACCAAACACAAGTAATCCAAAGACAGCTGTAAAACAAAAGAAAATAAAATCCCAGATTTTTGTTTCCTCTATTATTATTATCATCCTCACTTCACCGAAAAGAAGCTAAACAGTAAAAAATTCCGGTGGTCCCAAACATTTTGGTTTAAGTGGACTCCACCAAATAAGACTTTGATATATCTGAACTCTATTACTCTTTTAGTATTTCATCATTGTAGTGCATTTTACTTGGATATATATACATAATATTATGTTTTGTTCCCCGTTTGACTGTAACGTTGAGTCCATCACTGCAGCTTTTGTTATACAAAATTATGTGGTGTGGATGGCCGAGTGGTTTGGCTCTCAGACTCGCAACTGTAAGATCGTGGGTTCGAATCCGATCAGGGACCTGACGTTGTGTCCTTGGGAAAGGCACTTTACATGAATTTTCCTCACTTCACCCAGGTGGGAATGGGTTCCCAGCTCTAGACAGAGAAAGATCTTGTCCGTTTGATAGTGTTTGAGCACTTAATTAATTGTCTGCACTGTATGCTTCCCAGGAAGCGAAGAATGTTTCTGAGTGCTCTATGATCTGCTGGGGTAATATAGTGTAATGCGCATAGAGCTTGCTGTACAGCGGGGTTATGCACTGTACAAGTACTATTTATTATTATTATTATTACAACAGACTACAGGAAGAACCAGCACCAGACACGGCGTCCACTCACTCCCTCCTGCTCTCTCACAGCTGGACAACTCTGTTGGTCACATCAAGGACAGGCTCAGGCTCTTGGCTAGGTGCGGACATGTCTGCTTTCTACTGTACAGATTTTATAAGGACAATGTAAAAAGGCACGGGGAGTTGAGAATGAGTTTGTGCAGTCTTCTCTGAAAAATTCGTTGTTTCATTTTATCTTGAATTTTTTAAATCCCTGTTATAGAAGAAATAATCTGGAGAATTGTAGTCTCCTAACAAAAAGGGGTTATGTTTTTAAAAAGACTCTATGAGATAATAATTTTTAGATGTTCACATTGTGAGCACCATAGAAAGTCATTTAGATAATAAATGTAAATTTGAGTGAAGAGAAGCAACATAATGAAGGTTATTTAGTGCAGGGAAAATTGAAGAGGGATACAGGCTTAAGTAATGTTTGCATAATCTGCACGTCTGATGAAGGAATGTTGCAGCGCGTTGCTGGGTCTGCTAGAGAACATACTAGTATTATATTTGTTAGTAGGACAATATCAAGACAAGAAAGTGTAATTATTTTGATGAATACAGAAGAGATCTTAATTGTGACTGTCTTGCCAAATCAAACTGAGAATGTGGATTCATGAACGAATGAAGTAGAAAAACTGCCTTCAGAAAGTGCAGCTCTTGTATAAATTTATGTTTTTTGCAAATAAAAGAATGTTTACTTTTATTTTTTCATCCTCTGTTGCCGTTAAGCGTCAAGGGAAGATGCAGTTTTCTATGGTAGGCCAGCTCCACAGCTTTTTCAGTTGGGATATTATGATTTGTTAGGGTTTCCTTGGCACCCTCAATCCACTTTTTGCATGGCTTTCCTATTCCTTTATAGCCTGAGTGCTTGGTGCTATAGGCAATCAAGGCTGGCTGGCTAGGTGACATTTGTATCGGGTGTTCTATTTCTCTGTCAATGGACCCGTTTTCAAAAAGAGTGCTGCCAAAATATTTAAACTCCTTCACCTGTTTCATTTGTTTACTATTGATATGGATGCTCAGATGACCATGGTTTCGGCTCAATAAAAGAATGGGAGTGTTTATTTGGGCTACATGTAGCCCAAATAAGATCATCCTAAAAGAATACACATTTATTAATTTGAAAATGCTCAGGCTATGAAAAAAATCTAAAATGTATCATTTGTAAGGATTATAGTAGCGACATTATTTTCAAAAACTGCGGAGAATAATCTGATTTCATGCAGTGATGTGAAGTAAAAAAGTTTCTTTCCTTTAGCATGGACAAAAGTTATATGCTTCCATGTTTATGTCTTGTTTTATCAGAGAAAAGATGGAAGTTTCAGAAGCCCGTGAGTTGCTCAATCATGACAGAGAAATGCAAAACAGACTTTATCAGACTGAGATGCAGGTGAGTTTAGGAGCAGTCGTGTAGATCACTCATGTGGCCTATTATCATTCCTGGAATGGTTCTGTCTTTAAAGTACACTAAAGCTAAGAAAATAGCCCTAATAATCTGGGTGTTGACGCTTGCTTTTTCTTCTTTTGCTGAACTGTATGCTGAGTTGGGTGCCAGAATTTTTCTTGTTTTTACTAGTTTACATGTTTTACCTCTGCTGATATTTACTTGAAGGATTGATATGTATTAGAAATTGATTTATTTCAGATGTTGTAGAAATGTACATGTTAGATAGATTTAAAAGGCATAAAATATCTTCAGTCAAATTTTGCTCCTTATAACAGTTTCCCTCTATGAAACATTTGCATATTCATGTGTAAGTTATATATATTCAAGTCCCTGCTCTGGACTGTATCTAGTTTTTGTTCGCCAGAGAATGACCCAGAGATTCGACAAAGAGAGGAAGCACACTCAAGCCTTGAGGGCCGCACACCAGGAAGAGGTGGAGAGAGCCCGACGAAGGCTGCGAGCTGAGCAGATGGAAACTCTCAACGTTAAATCTTATTATTTTTTTGTGACGTAGGTGTTTTTACGCCCCCCCCCCCCCCCCCCATTGAGACAATTTAAATTATTTAGTAAATGGGTTTCTAACTCTACCTGTCAATGCCAATCCATGACCCAGGGCTATATTACTTCTATCAAAATGATCATGGCCAACCAGTCAGTCAAATGCTGAAGCAGAAAAGAAGGTTTGCAATGGTGGTTATGACAAGTGGATTAAGAAAAACTTGTGAGATTGCAGGTTTGGGGTTTTGAGGCTTTGCTTGGATCGACGTAGTATACTTGGCAAGTCACTTTACACAAATTTTCCCAATTGCCTCAGTCCAATCGGAGATAGGCGTTAAATTTGGAGGTACCGCCTTTTAAATAACCTAACAGTGTTGAAAGGTACAAGACTTTTACTTTTTGAGCTTCTGTTGTTTGCCAAAGCTTTCAAAGCTCTCAGCTCTGTATTTTCAAAGTTGGAAGTTTGTTCCCAGCTCCTGCCTCTTAGGTAGTCTAAAGTCTCATATTCAAGAACTGTTTTCTGACTATTATTGCAAGTGACCTGTGACTGTCAAACACATATGTGGGGCAGCGTGGTTAAATCAGGCACTCGTCAAAATAATGAAATTGAAGAAACGGGTATTTTTCTGCCGGTTTGAGTTTTTATCGACTTTTTGTTTTTTGGCTCAGCACCTTTTATGTCCATTTTGAAGAAAAATTTCTGTATGAATTTTACTGAAAAACTTTGATTAAAGACACAATAAATGTAAACTTTCAGTTTCCAAGGACTCTTATTAAGTCTTAAGCTATGGAAGTTACGAAGCTTTGGTGGCCTATTCTCACTAATTTTACTTCCGAAACCAGACAACCCCCCCCCCCCATTTTCTTGAATCACATATATCTTGATTTTTGTTTAAGATAGATTGGTAATTTTTTCATCAAAATCAAGACAAATGAACAAGCTTTAAGATGGTATCAGTAACTCCACATGACCAACAATTGACGAGCGTCTGATTCCACCTTTTCAGTTGCTGCTGTTCACTCTTAACACAGTTACTTAAATGGCGCTGAGAGGGGTACAAGTACAATTCTACCTGAGTAGTCATCTGACCTTTGGAAGACACCAGCCCTATTCATATAATCGAAATTTAAAGTCACTTGTTAACAAAGCCAGGATACTACACAGTGGCTCCAGCAATAGCACAGTTTTTTTCAATCTCAATTGTCAGTTGTCATTCGTAAAAGAAATCTCCCTTTTGCATCTGTACCTTGCACACAAATGTTGTGGGATTGATTCTCCTATGGAGGAAGATATTGATCCAGAAATGTCTATGTTTCTGTTATGATGTATCCCAAATAGCCAAGCAGGGATGAAGCAGCATGCCTCAAAATGATCTACACTATGCAGACCAAATGTCCTAAAAGTTACAAATAGAAGTAACAGTGTAGTATTTCCATGCGAGTATGTAGGTTAAAAGGGCAAAGTCAGTGAAAGAGAGGATGTGGTGATGGAGAGAGAGAGTGAGCAAGTAAAATAGAATTAGGTGAATGGTTGTGTCTTTGAAAGCGTGATACAGCTTTTCAGTTCTGGTTTGGTTGGTTGCGAGCCTTATAAAGTGCCTAGACCCACATCGGAATTTATACTATATACAGTGGAAACCTAATATAACAGGGATGGTGGGAGCAGAGAAAAATTCCCGTTATATCTGATCCCTGTTAAATCAGAAATGCAAGGAAAGTAAGCATTTGTGGACTATTCAAGCCGTATTTATTCATGGTTAGTGGAACTCGGATTCAACGAGGTCGCCGGGCCTGATCTCAAATCTTGTTGAATCCGAGTATTCCGAGTGTTCGTTATAGCAAACACGAGGTTTTGTTTAGATAATTACAGGCACTGAGCAAGTAATGAATAAAGAGAAGTCACAAGTAGTGCCTGAAATGCTTGCATATTATGAGCTGTATAAAAAAAAACACGATTCGTTCAAATGCACACGCCTGTGTCATCTCGATTGTTTACCACAAAATTGTGTTGCTGTGTAGAGCCAAACATACGGCAACTTTTGATTCCATAGACAAGCGCACAATTCATTACGTAGATCTACGTCAAGACTAGCTTATCATTGTAATAATGATCAGTTGCCGGGGAGAAAAAAAGACTGTGACGCGTTTGTATCTATTCTGCGCACACACAGCCACACGTGTGCAAGTCGCCCATCTGACCCCGACACGTCAGAGTAGACACGTGCGCCAGCCAACAACGCATGTGTTGGTATGAAAAAAGACCGCTGATTGGTCGCATGCAATCGGCAAAGTTAATAGGCCTAATGGTTCACGATGAAGAAGCAATGGATGGTTTCCGGGAACAGATAAAGTTCGTTCTGGGAGAAAAATGAGCGAAGCCACGTATACGGGGCAGTTCACCCTGGAAGCAACCTCGTTGAATCCGAGCTCTCTGATTTAAGTGCTCGTTGAATCCGGGTTATTTTTATTGATTTTAAAGAAGAAAAAAACCGGGGAATCTATCTTATCTCGATGAATCCGAGTTCGTTGAATCCGAGTTCCACTGTACCCATGAACACAGGTTTTGGCCATGTGGCAGGCCTGCGCAAGACACATTACGCGTACGTGTAGCTAGGCTTAGGGCTAGATCGAAGTGTGTAGCACACCGCAGCCCTCTCTCGCTTCACCCGCTGCGTGTGCTTGCATTGGCGTGGCTTGCGTGGGCTTGCTTCATCACTGCCTTACTCTCTCTCTCTCTCTCTCTCACTATTACTTTTTACACATTGTTAATGAGCCTTTGTCCCTGCTATAACCGATTGGGCTTTGATGAGGCCCTATTATTGCCGATAACTTTTAATAGAGATAAAGTGAAAGAGTAAGAAAAAAGGGGGATTTTATAAAATCCCTGTTAATACTGGGCCTGTTATATATGGTTTCCACTGTAAATCAATTTAACTACATTGTATTATCTTGATCATTATGATTATGATGATGATGATTATTATTATTATTATTATTATGAGTATTTTATTATCATCATCATTGTGATAATTTTTTTCTTTCTCCTCTCGTCTTCTCCTTTCATTGACAGTCCAAGCTTGACACTGAGGTGGCTCATACAACAAGGGATAAAATGGCTATACTGGATTTGTCACGGAGACTTCAGAACACACTGGATCAGCACATTGGCAAAATATGATCAGAGCTTGTTTGACTTAATGAGAAACAAAACTGACCAACAGAAACAATGAAGGGTTAGAGAATTGTATTCCTTTGACTTTTGATTTGAAGAGAAGCGTATCAGTACAACAGTTGTGGTAATAAAGTGCTGGAAAGAAAAAAGAAAGACAAAGGGATAAAGAGTTTTGCTTGAGTTTAAATGACTAGCATATCAAGACATTTTAAAGATAAAAAGACACTACGCAGAGACAGGAAAGAATACCTTTCAATGAAATCTGATAGACTAGAAGTTTTGAGTGATGTTATGGTGCTTTCTTTTGCATGCAGCATACATGCATAGTGAAACTCTTTCAGTCACTCAACCACACTGACCCAGTAAAGGAATTATTGCTGGTTAGCATTGAACCCATGATACAGTTGAGGCCACATATATATTATATTTGTAACGAAATAGATTCGAAAAAAATGAATTATTGTTTAAAATGAATTACTGCTTTCGTCCTGATGTTTCCACTGTTTAAAATTGAAGTGGGTAATACGAGTGCTATGGACCAATGGAAAGTGAACTTTTTGTAGTCAATGCCTCCCCACCCCTGGTTTCAGCCCCTTACAGAATCAACAGACGGAAACAAAAGTAGGACCTATCAGTGGCGCCTTCCAACCACTTTCTGGAAGTAGAAGACAAAAGCTGGTTACCGATTGAGGAATGATGACTGTACTGCACGTACATACCTATTGTAATAAAAATTATACACTTACATTCTCCAGAGCTTTCTGACTTAAAGGACTGAAGGGATATTGGATTGCCCCTTCAGACAAGATGTCAGTGCCACATCAGCATGACACTGTTAATGTTATTTGAAAACATAATTCTCCCCTTTCTATTTTTTTCTTGTTATGGGAGCAGGCATGATTATGCTAATAGTGTGAATATAATGGCGAATTATATTGATTTTTGGTTTTCATAAGCAGCCTCCATCTTCTTTTTCCGTGAATACTCCAAAAATTACACATGCAAAATGATTGAATAATAAAATCTATCAAGCTTATCGCATTGTCAGTGTTTTTATTGGTTGGGTTTTGGGGATTTTTTGTTGCTATTGTGTTTCAAATTTTTCTTTCTCTGTGTTATTATTTCTGATCTTTTTTAACCTTTTCCTAACTGAGTTTGTGCTTCATCTTCTCACAGAAAATATAGGCAACTCATTTTTTAAAGAGCTCATCAAAGCTGATTAAAAAGGCTCACTCAAACTATGGGTTTTAAAAAAAAATTACATTCTCTACAGCTGTGAGATCAGCACCTAGAGCAAGCTTTCATGTGGAAAGTATTGTATCATTCACCCAGCTTGTTCACACTCACAGCTACAATAGGCATCTGCTGGCCTTTTTTTCTGAACATCGTATTAAAGAGTGTATTGCATAACGACTCAAACATGTCATTTTGTATACACCACACAAAAAGTTAGTGTGTAACAGGAGCAGGCCGCACCAAAAAGGCAACCAGTGGCCTGCATTGCTAAGGGTACTCTCTGCTCTCCCTCCCACGTGGGAAAAATTTGAGTGAGCACTGAAGGACTTCAACATTAAAGGAACATACACCATCCAATAACAACCCCAAAGAACAAACAATTAAAACATGACAATTGTACAAATAGCTATTTAATTGACAACAGTGAAAAACAGATTTACAAAGAATGGAAAAAAAAAATATTTCATGAAAAACAGCATCAATACATTAAGTAGATGAAATTATTATATCACGAAATTTCGAATTGATAATACAAGTCACTCTTCACTGTGATGACACCAAAACCAGAATAGTGCATTTATAGAAGAAGTAGCAGATTTTTATAACAAACTGGCATCTACTTTAGAAAGTCCTCTTTTAAAAACACAACATACTGCTTCAGTTTTACTTTATCTACATCTCAAGAAGTTCATAGTAACTTCAAAAGTGAGGAGTGTATTCACATATCTTTCATTCACTGTAAACATTCCGAGACATGAACCTAAAACCTCATGTTTCCAATGTCTCACAAAACATCCTTGAGACCATTTTTTATTTTCATCCAAAACTTAAGGGAGCTACAAATATATCTAATGAACTTATTTCACCTGACATATTTTTCAATCAACCAAATAACTTTATATCACTTGAACTCTGAAATGACATTTTTAAAATTCTTGATCTTCAAAGGAGTGGGATATCAGGTTTCCATGTGGCTGCAAGTGTGAGAAAATTAGTCGGCAGAAGGTTATTTTGAGAAGTCATTAGAAACAGGCCCTGACCATAACTCCTATCTCAAACAAGCTGTTGTTAAATATATGGAAGGATGAACTATTTCTGAATTTTGATTTAAAAGGGCATTGTTCAAGTATACTGTTCCAAACATTTTTTTACAAATTATTTTGGAGAAATACAAGTTTGAGGCTACAAGAAAGTGTTTCTAGTAGATTACAAATAAAGAGTTATGAAATGTGGAAAGATAACACCTTTTCCAATCTTAATTCAAAAGAATTTGGTTCAGATATCTTTGGGTTTTATGTAGGTTCTTGCAAGAGTCACAAAAGAAAAAGTCTACAGAAAACCCTGGCTTTATCTAGGTTTCCTACTTTCGGAGTCTGTGCTTAGGCCATCGGAGTAGGCACTGGGGTCAGCCGACGTGCTACGCCTGTCACTGGCACTGCTCTGACTGCCACCAGACTGGTCTGTGGAAGCCTCGGTGTTGTACAAGCTAGGGGTCTCCGCTGATTTCTTCTCTCGTTTCAACGCCGTCAGAGTTGGGCACTTGTCACTCCTGATACCAACAGAAATCTTCCTGGAGTCTGAGGGAGAACTGTCTCCCGTCTCAGAGTGGAGTTTTATTTGTTTAGATCCTGTGTGAATAGGGTTAGGGCTGCTTGTGTAGGGATCTCTTGCGCATCTACGCTTTGAATCCACTCGAAAAGGGAGAGGACTTTTATCAACGCTAGGTTCCCCCGAGCTTGTACTAAGTTTTGAGTCAGGGTAAAAACTGATAGGGCTTTTGGTGCTGGAACCACAAGTGCTGCTCTGCTTGGAGTCCCTGTGAGAAAGGCTGTTTGAGCTTCTCCACACTTTACCGTCAGGACCCTCAACAATGACCGGAGACTCTAAAATGTCCGAGTAAGGGTGACTCACAGCTTCTGACAGGGCATTAGTCATGCCAGCCTCCAGTACTTTTTGATCGCTTTTGCTTTTCAAATCTATCACAGGAGTTTTAGCAAACTCTTCTAAGACGACGACTTTTTGCTTCTGATAAACTGAGTCGACAAAACTCTTTTTGTGTGATTCCTTTTCCCGCATCTTGTATTTTTCAACCAACCCTTCTCTTTGCTCTTCAGTTGATCTTTTATGTGTAGATAGGGCACAGTACTTATTTTCAACACTGGGTTCCTCAATGCTCACCTCCCTCACAGAGTCACAGTTCTGCTTAGATGTGGGAGCTTTCTTGGGACTGTCATGAAAGATACTGCTGGGAACAGCCTGCTCATGTTTGGGTTTGGGAGCAAATGTTTCTAAAGGGTTTTCCTTTGACAAGAAGTTTTTCTGCTGCCCACTTTGAGCTTTATTTGAATCTTCTTTTGAAATAGCTCCTGATTTTGTACTTGGCTTTGCAAAAAGCGGAAGGATAAAACCTTGCAAGAAGGCATGTAGATCATCTGAGTCCAGGTTAAGCTTCATGAAGCCACACACAATCTCTTCATACCTGTAAATTAAACAGAAGGGCATATTGTCATTCACTGTGAAAAATTATCAAGAAATTGTTAGTTAGAATACTAAACATTTAAGAGACAGGACTAAACATCCCAACCAAGCCAAGTGGGCTGACTGCCATGAAAACTCCCCAAACAATCTGAGTTCAAGAGTGTCCAGTTAGGGATTTGAACCTAGGTCATCTGCACCAGAGTCAAAAGCTACATTCACAGAGCTAAACAGGGCACTCTACCACCCCTCACCCCCCGCTCCTATTCTTAAATAACTTGCCCAGATCATACTGATTGAAATGAGGAATGAGGCAGAACTTGAGTCATACTGATTGAAATGAGGAATGAGGCAGAACTTCAGTCATACTGATTGAAATGAGGAATGAGGCACAACTTGAGTCACACACAAAAAAAGTTTGTCCTAGCAACACTTCAGTCGTTAAAAGATATCTCTGTAAAAAGGCTTGGGCACCAGACCACTGAGTGCACCACTAGGCTTGAAATGCAGCGGGCTGGCGAAGCATTATAATAGCTTGTCATTTCCGTCTGTTCATGTTTTTAAAAAATCTAGCACATCTATTAATTTGTCAATGAGCACGGCACTCCTGTACACCAGCGACCAAACAAATACCGTTCTTTCAAATCTCAATCTTACATCTCAATTTAAAAGTTTCTCTATTTGGATTTAAACACTACCTTTTAGGTTCATAACATAGGATCACTACAATAAATGATTTATAGTAACCTACCCAACAAGTTACTCATTTTGAGAGAGGGACGCCATCCTACCCAACAAGTTACTCATTTTGAGAGAGGGACGCCATCCTACCCAACAAGTTACTCATTTTGAGAGAGGGACACCATCTTGCCCAAGCATGGTTCCACACCTACCCCCCCCCCTCTCTCTCTCCATCGTTCTCTCCCTCTCTGAAAGACACACACACAAAAACACACACCAGACACATACACATGCACACACACACAAACACTCCAAACACACACATACACAAACAAACACATACAAGCATGCAAACAAACAAACATACACACGCACAAACACACACATACACACACACACACTGACCTCTTCTGCTGCTCTAGAACATCTCCATCCCAGACGTGTGGCACGGACCTGTACTGACCCAACAGTGCGGACACCTGGTGGAGGGAAAGAAGTCGGTGGTGTCACACACAGAGTGAAATCAACCCCCCGATTTGTTTATGATAACATAAATGACCATGATAAACTTTATTGTCCTCAGGAAAAGAAATTCTACAGAGTTGTCTAAAACATTGGGTCACTGCCATAACACAATTAATAATAATATTAATAATAATAATAAAAATAACAATAATAAAAACAACAACAATAATAATAATAATAATTGCATGGCTCTTCTTTCAATGTCTGACGACGGCTAGTACATCAGCAGAGGAGAATATTTCCCTAGAGAATCGAAGAATTTGAAGAATTTAAAGGTAAAAATGACTTGTCGCTTCTGCTGTGGGAGATTCATAACATAATTGCTCGAGTCATATTTCCTTGCTATGAGAAAACTATTGAAAACAAAACAATGCTTACTTACCTAAATCAACCTTGTGAGTTGAGCAAAAGTGTCAAATTTTTTTATTTTTGTAAATGTAGGTGCTTTTATGCCCCGACCGACACAATTTACATAATTAAGGAGGAGGACTTCCAACCCTGTTTGTCAGGGCCAACCCAGGCTTACAGGGATACGACATCCCAGCCAAAAGACCAAGATACTCAATAAAAATTCCCCCCACACTTGTGAATCTAACTCAGGCCTCCTGCATATGACAGAGAAGGGTCTAACTGCTATACCACAGAAGCCGGTTGTTAAAGTCTCAATAACTTTTTTTTTAAACGCAAAAACAAAACCTCCTATATTGAGGATGTAAAGCGGGAAAAAGGCATTTTTATCCTACTAAAGAACTAGAAACCTGAAAAAACACCATAGGCAATTGTGTTGTAATCATAACAAACCATATTTTGTACTAAGCTCATTATTTTGAAGAAAAATGTCATTGTAGCTTCGTAATCTGTGGTATTGGTTGCATATTGCTTGAGAAATATTTTGTTGAACTACAAATTCTAAATGTTGGAAAAAATGCCAAAAAGATGCATAATTTAATTACAATTTTTAAAAGAGTAAAACGTTTTCTTTTTTTCTTTCCTGAAAAATTTTGCTTTCTGGGCTTCGGACATTTTAACAGTTTGCTGGCGAACGATGGCTAGAATTTCATGTACAGTTAACTTAAACCTATTCGAATTCTAATGACCACCTACCCAAAACAATCTCCAGTACAAATGACCACTTCCCACTCCCCCAGTGCGTTTTAGTACGGTAATGTTATCACGATACAGTCCGAGACGTGCACTTGTTTAATACCACCACTTTTCTCCTCAGCAATTGGTGGCCATCTTGGACAATTTTGACTATACACAGACCCAATCCCACTAATTCCAGTCATACAATAGCACAACCCTCAGAGGTAGAATGGGTAGTAGTATGTTCTATATCTGTCCCCGGGGTTTTATGCACCCCGCATAATTTAGCAAATTTTGATCATTTTTTTCATAATTTTTTATTATTTTCCTTTATCATTCTTTGATAAAATTAACAGAATCGCATAATTTCACATTTTTGGGCTCAGTTTTCATAATTTCATAATTTTTTTTGCATAAAACTGAAGGGACAGCTATATCACCCAAGCAGTACGTTCCATCTCATCCTTCACCCTACACATCAGGACCCCACCAAGGCTAAAACACTTTATGGTGTTCCATCAGCACGGCTGCTGTTTCTCCCTAACAAACAAGTAAACAATTTGCAGAGTTGAAAGATTGTAAAGCTAATAGAGCTTGCTGTTGAATGGGGATTTACGCTATACAAATGTTATCTATTTTTATTATTATTAACTGGAAACTGTGATGTGGGGTCTAGGCTCTTCATTGTTCATGAAAAGAGGGAACATACTCCATCTAGCACCTTCATCTTTCTGCTTGGGTGCACCCACCCCCATCACTGCCCTGGTTGGCCCCGACAGGCCCCGACAGGCCCCGACAGGCGGGGTCAAAGTGGCTGAACCTCTTAACAAGCTAAATTTTGCCGATGGGAACGTAAAACATTCATCTGCGTCACGACGCGGTGAAATCAGGCGCTCGTCAATTTGGGGGCATGTAGAGTTATTGGTATCGTCTTAAAACTTGTCCATTTGTCTTGCTTTGGATAAGAAAAATCCATTTTTATCTTGAATAGAAGTGAGATATTTGCGAATGAAGGAGGTGGGGTTCACCTGGTTTCAGAGGTAAAATAAGTGAGAAAATGGTCGCCAAAGATAAGGTATTTCCTTAGTTTGAGAGTCCGTGGAAACTGAAACTTTACATTTTTGTGCTTTCAATGATGGTTTTTCAGAAAAATCCACACAGAAATGTGTTCTTTAATGGGCATGAAAGATGTTGAGCCAGAAAACGAAAATTCGATAAAAATTCACAAAACCTGCGGGAAAACGCCAGATTCTTCACTTTGATTATTTTGAGGAGCGCCTGATTTCACCACGCTGCCTCACATCTATATATTAAAAATACCCACCTGCTTGCCCCTGCGTATGACATGCTCCGGGATACCCACCAGAGCAGCAATGTTACACGCGTAGCTGGACGTGGCGTGTCCCTCTTTGAGCTGGTAGAGAAACACAAGCTCTGCCCCGTTCATCACAGTGTCCATAGTCTGAGGGAGGGAAGAAAAGCGTGGTGGAGGAGGGGTGAAAATGGTATAGGTTTAACGCCCCTATCAACACTATTAGGCTATTTAAGAGGCAGGACCTCCGTTTTATTAAACAAACGTCCATCTCCAAAAGGACCGAGCCAACTGGGAAATTCATGTAAAGTGCCTTTCCAAAGGACACAAAGTTGGGCCGAGCTAATGCTCAAACCCCCAAACCTGCAATCTCACCACTTCCAGTCCGGTAGCCTAACCACTAGGCTACCGATTCCACAGAGGAGAAGGGGTGGGAGCTTGCAATAATTTAAAAAATGAGACAGGAAGGAAATGTGATGTAAGGTGTGATTGCTTTACCAAAGGTACATCATGCACTGTAATGTGTGATTGCTTTACCAAAGGTATGTACAAACTGCAATGTGTCATGGTAGCTTTTCACAAGGTATGTACTACACTGCACTGTTCCCAGGAGAAAGTTGCATTTTAAAATAGCAAAAGTTGAAAGAAAAATAAGCAAAAGTTGCAAAAAAAGTTGCAAGGCATGTATAGCTAAAAAAAATTTCATGGAATTTTTGGAATACATCGTTGGGTAAATTTTTACTTTCACTCCCGCACACGGATACACTGCTTAGGGGGTCAACCTGCAGCACTGTTTGCTGCAGACTACACATATAGCCGCTAAAACTGTCGCAAATCAATTATTATCACGAAAATTTCAAACCTAAAAACAAAATATCAAATTATTGGTTAAAACAGATTTTATTTTCATGTCAGCCCTCCTCCCGAAACCCGGTTTAGTGTGATATAGCTCGATTAAAAAGTGTTACATACTTAAAAAACTATTAATTTGCAACGGAAATAAAGTTGATATTCGTGTTCAGCGCATCAATATATAGCAGAAAATGGACAACTGGTAGGTAAGTGTGAGACGGGAGAGAAAGTAAAAGAATACCCATAGTTGGGATGCTCATTGCAATCAAAGTAACCAACATGAGTTTTGTTAGACCAAAATCAAAAGTAAATCTGAATTTAAAAAAAAAAACTGCATGGAGGTTGCATGGAGTACAAAACAGTTTGTCCCCTGACACTTGCGTCAGGTCCTTAAACTCTCGCTGATGTTGGGCAGGTGTGACCAGCATGGTTTACGGGTTTTTTGAAGACTCAATCCATGTCTAGATCTACCCTCCTAGCCTAAGATTAAAAGTCTTTCACAAATTTTTATACTAGATCTATCTACCTGGTGCTAAAGAACCAAATGTGAGCTAAGTAATCAGATGATGATGTTTACGATTGATTTACTGTAGATCTAGACCTAGATCTAGATTCAAGCTAGAAGATGATTCAGTCCAAACAGTACCATTGGGGTATCGAGTCGGATTGGGTCGGTTTGCTAGCCAGATTGAGGACACAAGGTGGTATCGTGGCATAAGCCGATCGTACCCTACTCGTTGCCTAAAAAATAAACGCGTTTGTTTTCAGGCAACAAGGCTTGCGATCATCCGCAATTGGCACCCTGTGCAAAAGAAATGGTAATTCAAGTACGAACTGTCCCCCTTGGCGTTGTTATTTTTAGTCGTGGAAGAAAGTTTTGGATATTTTAAACAAAATTTTATTATTTTCCCAACTTTTGCGGAAAATTGGCTAAAATTTGCAAACTCATGTAAATGGCAAAAGTTTTGCGTTGAGGGCAAAAGTTGCGCATGCAAATTGCGAGTTGCGGGTGCGAATTTCTCTGAGGACAGACTGTAGCACTGTAATGTGTGGTGGCTTTTCGCAAGGTACATACTACACTGTTATACTGTAATGTGTTGTAGCCTGGCTTAGCGCAAATGCTTATTGATTCATGTGAATACAAGGTGATTAATGCTTACAGCTTTACAATACAGTGGGAAAAGAGAATTTAATTTAAACTCCTTGTCAGCAAAAAGCAGTGCAATGTCAAGAAAAATGCTGTCATATTCCGATATCGATACAATACATGCTGAAAAGGTGCTGATCACTGACCTGTAATTGCAGCTGCTCTGTTCGAGGCAGCAGACTGTGCTGGACAATGCCGTGAAAGTGAGTGGACACCAGGGCACGGGGACAGTCAGGGCCTTTGTCCACCCAGAATTTGAGCACAGCCGTCAACAAAGACAGACCATCCGTCTGGGGAATTGGAACAGACGTGGAGGGTGGTTATGGTCTCAAGCAAGCAAAACTTGGAAGACAATAGTCAGTCAAGAGCGTCCATCTGTGTGGCAAATAGAAGCAGACAGGGAAGGAGGGGGGGAGGAAGATTTCATCAAAACCACTTGACAGAGTAGGACGGAGGGGGGGAATGTTTCATCAAAACTAGCACGGGGGGATGGGGGGAGGTGGAGGGAAGGAGGAAGGTTTCACCACTAGCAGACGGGGGGAGGGGGAAGGAGGAATGAGGAAGGTTTCGCCAAAACTAGCAGACGTGGAGAGGAGGGGGGCACTAGCAGATATGGTAGCAGAAAGGGAGGATGGGTTCAGACTCATAAAATCAAAACTTGAAGATGGTGTTCTGCAAAGAATTAGTCTAAAGAATACTAACAATTAAAGATGTGGTGGAGGGGGGGGAGGAAGGTTATATATCAAAACTTGAGGACAACAATCAGCAGAGACAGTCACTCTGTGTGGGAATTAGAAGCAAACAGGGCAAGGCTCGTTAGCTAAAAAGTCTTTCATGTAAAAGTATCTAGTTCAATACCGGGCTATTCCATGGTAACTGACGGGACTTTTGGACTACACTTTCTTACAATGATAACACTGTAATTCGATATCAACTAATTTATTTCAACTTCAAATGATTTGAAAGACAAATTGAGAATCATACTAAATGCAGTCATTTGAAAGAAAAAAAGTATTTATGCAAATTCAGTGGCTTGTTTAGTTTCAGTAACTGATGGTAAAAGAGACCTGTTTTCGGTAATTGCCGAAAAGTAATTTGATGTCGAAGTTGTCATAAAGGGATGGGCCGGAGCTGCTGCCAGTGGCTCACCAGCACAGCGGTTCCAACCACAAGCCACTGGGAGCGTCTTACCGGAGATAAGGAGTTAAGAAAAAGTAGCACCCTCACTTACAGATTCTGTCCCTTTGCCAAATTCATCAATGACAATTAGGGAGCTGCTGCTGGCTGAACGCAACGCCTCTGACACTTGGATAAGGTCCTGCATGAAGGTGGAAAAAACCCCAGAGACACTCTCCAAAGACTTGATGCGTGAGAAAATCCGGTCCACGGGTCCAATGCTGGCTTTCTCCGCAGGCACAAAACTGCCAATGTGGGCCAGGAACACAATCAAAGCCACCTGGCAGACAAAGAAGAAAGAAAAATTATTGAAAACTACAAGTTTATTCATCTTTGCAGCTAAATATAGGTCTCTATCTATACACCACAAAATTATGGGGTTTTTTCTTCCTCCATCACTCATCAAGCACCATCGTCCTTGGAGTGTTGGCTATATATATATACACAGTGCACTGTAAAACTGATTATTCCTCCACTTTTGCTTTCTTTTCGTAACCTTAGATATCTTAAGACTATTCATCTGTTCCTTAATGTTTCTTAGAAATTGGCTTTTATGGTCTCCTTTTTTTTGCTCCTTTTGTCCTCTCATGTTTCAGAGATCAATTAAATAGAGTGCTATTTTGCTCTTAATGGAAGGAAGGTAGATGCTGATTTGTAAATGCCAGCCGAGACACACTCTCCTCACTAGAAACGAAACGAGGCTGGAGGGGTCAATTTCAGTTACAGCCAAATCTACTGTGGGGAAATCCTGCGGGAGAGGCAAGCTGGTGTCTGGCCGGTTTGGGCCTGTATGAACTCAAGCACTGCTTTTATGCTGGGTCCAACCAGAAAAGGACAGAGCAAGATGTTTAATGTATTTGCAGAGTTTGAAACAGAAGTAGAATTTTATAAAATGTGAAAGAACCTACAAGTGTGTCACATTATGGAAACTGTGCTTAGCAACAGCTGTATAATGATTATTATAAAACTGAAATAGTAGCACTGCATTATTGATCGCTGCTGTAATGTCTCCTATTTTGAGCTAGGGTTTATGTGCCTTGCTCAGAGAGACCCCCCCCTCCCCCGACCTTCCTCCATGGCTATCCATCGATAAACTGTGTCACCAACATTGCTTGAATTAATGCAAGAGCCAGGGCTTACTAACCATTCCACCTATGGAGGAGGAGGACGAGGACGAGGACGAGGAGGAGGAGGAGGAGGAGGAGGAGGACGAGGAGGAGGAGGAGGAGGAGAAGAAGAAGAAGAAGAAGAAAAACTTCAGTCACCTGTTTAAGGTAGACGCTCTTCCCACAGGCATTGGGCCCCGTGATCAGCTTGACTTTCCCCTTAGAGGTTCCTATTGAGGTGTCATTAGGAACAAACGGGGAACAGCACAGTTCTTGTAGTGGGTGTCTGCACACACAGTTTGACATTCATTGTATATTAGTATAAGAGAAATACATTCAATGTATAAAGTATAAGAGAAATAAATTCACTGCATATAGATATAGTACAAGAAAATAAATTCATTTGATAAAGTATGAGAGAAATACAGTCGAACCAGTGTAAGACGGCCACCCATTGTCAAGGAGAAAAGTGGCCGTATAAGACAGGTGGCCGTCTTAGACAGGACTGATCAAGATGAAGAAAACAAACCATTCTTTTCTGAGGTCCCACCCGAAGGTAGCTGCATGGTTGTTGTTGTTATGTTGTTGTTGTTTTCGCTGGGTTTTTTTCTCTCTTTTTGTCTTTTGTTGCTGCTTTTGTGCAAGGATGACAATAAAACGAAATGTGTCAGACAAGGAGGACCGAGTGCTACGGTAAAACAAACACACATGTCACTACCATTCGGAGAACGAGCGACGCTTCTGTCACAAATTCATGTTGACGTCCTTTGTTACTTTGTTACAGACTGGGTAAACAGTGACCACTCATCTCACTTACGATTTGTGTGTTTGAATTCTGGGCGGGGCTTATGGGTTATGAGGGATCACACGCTTATCTCACCAGCAGCTGAAAATTAATTTTGTTACCTATTGGTCAACAGTAGGAGGGGCCTACACAACATGATCGGTTGGAGGGACTACCTAACAACAACGATAGGTGATAAGATTATGACGGCTCGCCGACAACGCAAGGGGCCAATGCTTGATTTTTGACAAAACGTAATGGAGTCACTAAAGTGGCCGTCTAAGACAGGTGTTATTGCTTTGTGTGATAGGGGTTGTGTGTTAAAATATGGTGGCTGCGGCCGCGTTGGACAGGTGCCCGTTTTACACAGTTAAATTATAAAGAAGAGAATACAAAGACACTATGATAAGGCTGTGCATACAGAACATGTCAATATGATGATGTCAAATATATGTAGGTAGGCCTACGATTCAAAGTTTCGACTGCAAATACAAAAAATATTACATAATTTTTTACAATATACACTACATATCTAGAGAATATTGAAGAAGTACAATAATATGCAGAGAGTGTATACCACAAAATGAGAACAATAAACGAAGAGGGATATCGCAATGTGTGCACCACATGAGAATAATAAAGGAACATACAATATCCAACAGATATTACAAAGGAGAATACAAAAAATTTTTACAACTGACCCCTTCTACATCCATTACTGCTTAGTGCTGTTGTTGCTTTTGTTGTTACTGTTGTCATTATTGTTCCTGTTTTTGTACGATCAAGTAACTGATCTAGTAGAAGCAGAGCTTTCATCCTCCTTGATGCCATGCAGAACAAACTGCTTATCTGCTTGGTGCCCCACTTATTGCCTCAATACTGCCGTCAGCTGACAAAACAAAACGCCTTTTTTTCAGTTTTGGCGCCAATTTTTTATTTTTTTTTCAAATCAAAAGCCTGATCAGTTACCCTACTTGTGTGAAAAAATCAAAGTGAAATTGTGACTATTTTTTAAATAAATTAAAATTAAAATTTCAGAAGAACGCCTTTTATAAACAGTTAAGCTAACAAAAAGCCTCATTATCTCGAAACTGCTGGGAATTAACAAAAAGACGTTTTGTCAGCTTATGGCAGAACATATTTCTATCTTCGCCAGTTTCTGCTTTGATGTATTATTTCATGAAGTTATAGACCACCATCTGATTTTACATTTTCATGTAGGGGGTCTTCCCATATTTGTTTTCTTTTTTTTTCGCTTGTATTTTACCCAGTAGCACAGCTGGTAGTAAGCCAAGTAGCTGCAAAACAAGGAAAGTGTTGGATTGGAACCCACTGAGTAAAAGATCAAGGGGAAGACAACTTGGAACCTGGAGAAGAGTCACAGAAATTGACGTACAGAAAAGTGGGAAGACATGGAATAACATCAAGCGGCTAGCCCATGATAGGGAAAGGTGGAAAGTGTTTGTTCGTGGCCTCCTATATCCTGATCCAGGGAGAGAAAGGCAGTGATGATGATGATGACAGTTGAAGTGGTGCTGGAGGAAAAAAGCCCTCATTGCCACTTATGACAAAGATGTCCTCACCTGCCAGCAGTCACGTCTATGATGTCCTCCTGCACCAGACTAGGACACACGTAGCCAAACTCTCCAGCACATGTAGCAAGAGCCATCAAGCTGTGGGAAGACATCACAGACACTCCACTAAATCACGCATAGATTGGAACAGAACTTTCATTTAATTCCACACAGTTCAAAAAGAAAAAGCAGTACCTCGTACAAATTCCTGAACTTACAGGATTAAAAACCAACCAGAAGAAGTCATAGATATAAACAAAGAGAACATATTAACTGTTTATGAACAAAAAATAAGACCTGGACTATTATAAATTTCTAGAATTTTCTCAACTTTTAAATAAATAACAATCTTAATATCTTTCTAGCATGGTCCAAATCTATGTTGTATTTTGGCGGGGAGATGTCCTGCTGCCGACTAACATACCCAGGTTCCCCATCCATGTGTGAAGCCACCAGCCTCAACCCAATGGCTTTGTTCAAGAGACCCCTTATTCCACGATTTTAAAAAAAATCCTATCATATCAGTAACAGGTCACAACATTTACCTATCCATGGCTCCTTTCTGGAGTATAAATCTTGCCACTAATATCACAGAAAGCATGAAACACACTTTCTTCCAGATTGAGGAACACTAAAAAAATTCTTTCTTCTTGATTCCTTGTAAAAACATTTGTCAAAATACAAGTTTCTTGAAAAGAGCCGTCAAATTACCCTTGGCCTAAATATAAAATTATGAAAGCCATAAGTACGTCCACAACAGAGAGTCGATGAAAATGTCTCTCCCCTTTAGGGAGATGGTAATGAATAATAATAATAATAATAAAAATAATTATAAAATATTAATTGCATTTGAACAGGGCATAACCAGCATCTGTAGTGTAGCAGTTAGGTGCATCACTGCCACATGCAGGAGACCCAAGTTCAAATTCCCAAATGGGGAGAACATTATTACTGGGGAGAAAATTGTATTTGAGTATCATGGTCTTTCTGCTGGGATATTGTATCCCCCTCAACATGAGTTGGCCCCAAAAAACATGGTAGGAAGTTACCTCCTAAATGATCTAAAGTGTGTCAATGGGGGCGTAAAAAAAACAACCAACCCTACATAAAAAAAAATATATCTTTATTAAGATACAGCACATATCCACGCTCTACAGCATGCTTTTACAAATTATACTGACACTATGTGTAGGAGAAGAGTTGACATCATCCTCCTTTATACATGCACAATGAAACAAACAGTGGAACACTTGGATAAACGAGTAGCTCACCAGTCGAGTTCAGCAGTCAAGTCCATTACCTCCAGTATGAGTTGGGTGTTCTCTAAGATGCGGCTCTGTAGCCCATGCATGATGCTCACTTCAACGTCTGCCCAAGGGGACAAAAAAACAACAACCAAAGACACATTAGCACTATTTCTTTTTTCTAAGTTCTTCCACTGGATTTCAGCAATAATAACAACAATAATAATAATGACAATGATAACAATAATAATAATTAAGGAATAGTTCAAATAGAGTTAGAAAGTACATTCAAATATTCCCTATCCCTGTGAGGTTCTTGGCACTTTGCAACGGTCACAACCAAACCAAAACTGAAAACATGTGACATACTTTACTTATTTACTTTTCCAATCCAGGCAAAATACTTAAAGAAAAACACAATCAAGATCACCATCTTTCCACTCTACTAGATCTTTATCTCTCTACTAATCTCTGTCTCTCTCTCTCTCTCTCTCTCTGTCTGTCTCTCTCTCTCTGTGTCTCTCTCACTCTTTCTCTCTCTCCACCAAGTAATCAAATGTAGGATCTTCAAACTACAGTGCAGCTGACTTTTACTTATCCAGCGAATTTTCCTCCAAGAATGTGGCATCCATCCACTGACTAATTTGAAAGTACTCTGATACAGTTACACTTATAAGATTTTATCAGTTATGAAATGAGATCAGTATAGAACTTTACCCCTATAAGCTGTAAGGAGTAGCCAAATCTGTAAGAAATAATTCTACAAATTCTTTGAAAAAAAAAATGTAATGAAACAAAGAGAGGTGTGTGACACAATACAATTGCTTGTCTTTTCCCCCACAATTTTATCAAAGAGCAGCTGTTCTTACCATAAAAGTAAATCTTCATTTTCCCTTGAAAGAGAATGTTAAAGGCAATAATTCAACCCCCTCACAGTCCACAAACCTAGAATTTCTAGTTTAGTATCTCCAAGCAGTCTGTCCATTTCTGAAAACAAATAAAAACACCACAAGTAACTGATACTGGAAATGTTTGAAGTGGTTGGGGGGGGGGGGGGGTCATAAAAAAAGACGAAACTTTATTTGTGAATCATTCGTTGTCAATAGAGTTGAAAGACTGAGTACTTACCTGTCACAAAATATATGGTGTTATAAAATCAATTTCTTAAGTGCTTCACATGGTAAGACCAATGGACAGAAACGACAAAGGGAGAATACAGAAGTAGGACTTCCCAGTGGCACCCACAATCATAACACTATACTGACATCTTTTACATCAAAGAGTGTTATTTACTTATCTATCTCTGCATTATAAAAGATACTTGGAAACAATAGTAATAGGGTCTTACACTATGGAAGTAGGTGGTTGAAGGGTGCCTCTACTTCCTTATTTTCCCTCTATTGTATCTGTCTGTTTGTCTCACTTTTCCCTGCACCTAAATGACCACCATATTGTATTGATGTGCTTCTCATTACTCAAGAGCATAAACGCCATGTAAAAAAAACTAAATTATCAACAATTTTATCGAAGTCTATTCCAGAAAAGCTAGGGATGTGACAGTTCTCACTTATTTCCCTGGAAACAGACAACAATCAGAGAAATTGAAGGTACGAAGCAGAGGAAACAGACAACACGAAGCAGCTACCAAATTTGCACAACGCAGTATTTATTGTTTTGTTTTTTTGGGAGAAGAGAAAGGCATCTACACAATAACAGTCATGATGTGCATGGTTAGAGTAAAATAGATAGAAACAATAGAGCAAATAGACATATCAGAGGAGCCCTCCAAGCCAATAGTTTACTAGTACCTGAGCGAAAGTAATATGCCCTTTTCTCTGATAGAGACATATTAACTACTGCCCCTTCCGAATGTGTAACTGTCCTTGTCAAATAGTAAGGCTTGCAATAAAACAGGTTGTAAATTTGATGCCTGGCACCGATGCTAAGGCACCTTTAGGCTAGCTGCAACAATGCACATGACGATCAATAGTAACTTAACATGTGGAAGATAGTCGGTCATATGCACTGGCAGCACCCCCCTGTGTCCATCAAGTGAAGAAATAGTTGTAAAATCCCTTGAGCTTTCCGATACAAAAGACAAAGGTAAATAAGCACTTAAATTTTCACACTTGAAAGTACAAAACTTACCCAGTGTCTTTGCAGACTTGTAATATAATTGACCATTAGAGACAAACTGAAAGAAAATAGAAAAGCAAATTTACTACCAACAAAAAAATTGTTCCTGAGAATTTCCAAGAGCATACTGGGTAACAAAGAAAGGATAATTTATTTTTTAAAATTTAATTTTATATCCATAAACGAGAAAAGTTTGTTAAAAATGCAACAAAATAAGGAAAAAAAGGTCTAATCAGCAGCTCTAAAACATGTTCTGAGAGCTCAAAAAAATAGAAACAAGAACAACAGAAGCTTTCCAAAGAAAGATATTCAGCTGACCCTTTTATTGTTGGTCTGTTTACATAATCTAACGGCTAGCTACAAGTCACAATCATCAACAATATCTATTCCAGTCACTTTTGAGGGATTGGGGAGTTTAGAGGAGAAGCCTGGAGAGCAAGCAATTTTTTTAGCCGCCCCTATTAGGTTTTACATTTTCTTGCATGTGAAGCTACCTCATAATATTTTACTATCCTAACTCATCCCCATTTGAAATTTCTCTCAGGGCAGAGAGTCTTATAACCATCATATCTCTGGGTATGTGAAATTCTTCAACATTAAGATAGAAATGCAACCATAGAAACAGCAACTATCACTTGTCTTATAACTAACATTAAGCTTTATCACTCTCAAACAAAACAAGTCTTCTATTCACTACTTCCAAGCCTTACTTTGAACTGAAGCCCCTCAATAGTGTGGTCAGCATCATCTGGCTTCCCCTCTGGTTTGGGAATCACCAAAAGGTAGCCAACCTATGGAGAAAAAAAAAAGAGGAAAAGGGTTGAGAGATTTTTCTTTCTCACAATTTTAAAAAAAATTCAACGTGCGAAAGGGCCAAGCGGTCAATGTTTTTCTGGAAGTACTAATAGGCAGGAAAGAAACATATGTGTAGGCACAGGAAACCCTTCATGAGCCACATATCCATATTTGGATAAGCATCTTTACAGTTTGTTTTCTCATAGTCAAAATACGGCATCTGTGCAAGAGCTTCTTAAACTTAAACCTACATAATTTTTTTTTTAAAAAGGTACTTACTTTAAACAAAAGGCAAAATTAACCAAATTGCAAAAAAGCTCAAAGAATAAATGATTATTTTAGTATATATATGATAGAAAGCTAGCATGAAAAAGAAGACACAAAGAACGTATGATGACTATAGACTAAAAAAGAATGTAAGACTATAAACTAAAGACTATCACTTCAACATTATTATTTACATTTTACTGCACATTACCTTTACAAGCCCAGGAACATGTTTTTGGGAGGGTTTTTTGTGCACATATGCTTTGAGGCAAGTGACACTTGTAAAGAGAGATGGACAAACTGGCAATGAGATGGAAAAGGTGACTAAAAAAGATTTTTTTAAAAAAGATGCAGGAGGATTTTCACTTTCCACAACGGTACAACTTCTTCTGTTAGACATGGTCATATTCTTCAAGGATGGGGAAGAAGTCTAACTAGCATTTACAAAATCATTTATAGGGGAGGTCAGAAATGAGGCCTTCTACAGACTAAAGGTCAAGAGCTTTTTAACAGACCTAACTAACTTCCTCAAAAAAACCATTTAACTCATTATCTCCGGCAAGCCACTGCCAGTGGCTCGCTGTCGGAAACGCTGAGCCGGTGAGCACGGGTATATATTTCTTTACAACGACTTTGACATTAAATTACTTTTGGGCAGTTGCTGAAACAGGTCTCTTTTATCAGGATTTCTTTCATTAGACGAAGAACTACCAAAATGGGTTCACTTGTTTTGATTTAATTACCAATTTAGTGGCATTTTCAGATTTAGTACCAAAAAAGGGCAGTAGCATAAATAGTGGGTTTACTCCCCTCGGAGATAAAGAGCTAAGAAGCAGAAAGAAGAGCTAAGAAGCAGAAAGAAAAATTTCCGTGTTTTTTTTGTGTCAACATTTCCTGCTTGTTTGTCATCATCCACAATTTCCCAGCCTCAACACAATTTTACCAAAAGGAGAAAGGGAAACAAACTTCTGGGATGTAACTGAGAAAACACTCTGAGATCTCGCTGCTCAGACCCGTCAGCTCTTCCCGTGCCACCTGGTTCATCAAACTGGGCAGGCCCTCATAGGTACGCTTCTCTGAAAAACCAGAACAGTGTCTCCATTAACTTCAAACGCAGGCTGAGGCAGGACATCATTGCAGAAAAAAAAAATCCCAAAACACAGCCGTATTTTTCTTGAAACAGTTTGTAATAACAACAACTTTGTTTTCTCCCCACTGTTGACACAAAGTTCAACCAAAGATAGTAAATAACAAGATGGGCCACTCAGCCAAAAAAGTGTCCGCAGGAAGTATGCTCTTTGCTTCAGATGGCGCTGCAGTCTGTTTTGAAGCTCTCTTTCGTTTTTCCAGAAGAAGAATAGGAATAGCACCTCCTTGCATGCGCAGATCGACTGCTGTTCATCAGCAGTTCGGGTACGTTCAGTGCAGAGTTTTAGTTTTTTTAAAATTTTAATGACTTCTCGTCTTTCATTCTAAAGTCAAATTAAACTAAGAAAACCATCTCCCTTTCCTCCGGAAGAGGTTTTTTGTCAGCGTAACCATTTTAAAAAAGCGTTCTTCCGAAATGTATCCCAAAACTTGTTAGGGCCTAGTTTCACTTTGATTTTTTAAAACTCAAGTAGGGTAACTCTGTTCGCAAAGAGTGCCCTTTTGTGAAGAGGGCGCCACCAAATTTTGAGGACACTTTTTTAATTGGCTCAAAGAAAGAAGTGGCCCATCTTGTTATGTACTATCTTTGGTTCAACTTAAAACTTATGTAAAATGTACCAATTTATCACAGTGAGAAGAAGCACTCATCACACTACCACTACTGACACAAGCTACACAGAGATACCACTGGGATTACACAAAGATAACACTGGGATTTTTGTAAAAATGACTGAAAATTTACTATGTTGCATTTACAATGAGAACGATCCTGTTCTTTTAAATGAAGGTAATGGAAATAACAGAAAAAAAAGAGAAAAAAAGGCATCCCTTGCAACGAAGTCGGTGCATGGCAAGGCAATATTGAATGGCAACATGTAGTGAGAAAACAGAGGAAATTACTGCTGAGAACCCTGTGAAGAAAGCAGGAGTGAAGTTTTATGAAATGCATATGTGAATGCCACACATGAAGAGAGGATTATTTATATTATTACAACCTGCGACATTCTAAATGCAGGGAAATAAGACTGTCACCAACTCCAGAAGTTCAATTCCTCTCAAGGAATATTCTTTTTTATTCCTTTTCATTGCTTAACTCACTGCTGACAGGCTATGTCAATAGCGGTAACCAAAAAGAAATGACATAACTAGTAACAAGCGTAATACGAAATAGTATTAAAAAATGACTAATGGTTCTGCATAGATTTATAGTAAACGTCATAATGCATCAAAGCCCAGCTTTACTTTTTGTTCAATTTTCAATTTCGCCCTTTTGAAGAAATTTTTTTTTTAAAACAGATACAGCTGAATTCGTGACACTGCCATTAGTTTGACTCTTTACACCAAGTGCTGCACAATGTGGTAATTGCAGCTTATAACGAGCAAAGAGTTTTATATTCAGGTTTTTTAAATAAAAGTTCTCAACTTTTTCTTTTTTATCTAAAAATCCCCCTCCCATTCCAATTAACTTGACACCATTTGGCTATTGACACAACATGATGCTAAGCAGGAGACATTAGGCATGCATCATGATCCATAAATTAGAAACAAAACACGATTTTCATAGCCAATTTAGAGATTTATTTCGAGAGATGTAAACCTCATTTGATCAAATACATGATAACAAACAACATAAAAAAAGCGACCAAAAAAGGTGACAACTTACTAGCATCCAAAGCATCATCAACGCCAATCTTCACCACAAATCTCTGAGCTCGTTTCGACTCCTCAAAGTCGAGCTGTTCAAGGAAAAAAAAAAGAAAATAACAAATTTGATTAATCTCCAGTCTTATGTTTCTCAAATACAACTTGTTTAGATCAACACAAAGAATAGAAAATAGAGAGGCAATATTTGACTTACTTTTGGACAAAGAATATAGATGTGCCAGAGGAAAATACTGCAGATGGAAAATTTAAAAAGTATGTACCATAAGAACATTTTGCAGAAAAAATGCAACCTTTTCAAGGACTACAAAGCAAAGAAAAGGAAGAAGAAAAAAGACAGGCAGGCAGGCAGGCAGGCAGGCAGGCAGGCAGGCAGGCAGACAGACAGACAGACAGACAGACAGACAGACAGACAGACAGACAGACAGACAGACAGACAGACAGACAGACAGACAGACAGACAGACAGACAATAAGAGAGAGAGAATAGAAGAGAGAGGGAGGAGAGAGAGGGAGGAGAAAGAGAGGGGGAGAGAGAGCTGGAGAGGGAGAGAGAGAAACAGAGAAAGAAAGAGAAGGACAAAAAGAAAGAGAGTGTGTGTTTGGGTGGGGGGGTTCTGAGAATGAGAGGAGGGGAGAGAAAAAGGGAGAGAAACTGAAATAGAGAAGAGGAGGGAAATAAAAAACAATCAGAGATTCGGAGGGCAACAGTAAATAAGAGAGAACTCACAGTGCGGAACACAAGGTTGGCGCATCTGTGAAGGTCATCTGTGAAGGTCGCGCTGATCTGGTCAATGGAAAAAGCCAAACACATCCCTTGAAGAAGAATGCTTTCAAACAAGAATGCCAGACATTCTATATCTAATCTACATTAACATTCACTTAACATAAGTTAACACATTTTTTGGTTCCTTTTCACAAATCATACAGTCAAACCTGCTCTAACTGCCACCTGTGCAAGACAATCACCTGTTTAAATGACCACTTCACAATCCCTTGCTAGTGTTTTAAAAAATAATATTCTAATGACACTGTCCAAGACGTCCATCTGCCCGAGACAACCACTTTTCTCCCCGACAGTCGGTGGCTGTCTCTGATGATTTCAAATTTATTTCATGAGAACTAAAAATATTCCAATCCTAGCGACAGGTACACTTCTTCTTAGAGAACAGCCGTGGTCCTAACTGATCTGACAGCCACATGTTGGCTGCTCACTAAGCTGCTGAATGTGTCGCCTCCTCTCAGTCTTGGCAAACACTATTAGCAACCACTTATGAGGCATGCTGTTTCAACCCAGTATGTCAGGCCCATCCCAGGCAGTGTGGGATACTACATTCCAGCAGGCAGACAGCGATGCTCGAAAAAATAATTCCACTATGGGAAACAAATTCATTTCTTTGCAGAACAAGGCAGCCAGCCTAACCATAAAATCAACAAATGCTATTTAGTACACCTTACCTTACGGAAAATCTCCACAGTCTGCACTTGGGACCGGCAGATATCTCCAATGTACACTGCATGGTAGAGTGTCTGCACAAGAATAAACTTTCCTTAGAATTTATATAAAGTTGCTTTTGTTCCAGTGGTGTGGAGGCTTTCATCCTCAGATCCACTATCATGAAGTGATTGATTATTACAGTTTTATGCATATTGTAAAGTTATTCAAAAGGTCGAACCTCCAAACTTAAGGTCTATCTTTTATAGCTCTGAGCAAAAAGAGGGGGAAAGCCTTGAAAATTTCATAAGCAACCTAAGTTCCAACAGTCTAGTAGAGGATTCAAACTAGGGTCATTCACATCATAGACCAGTGTGAGTCTACCAAATAGAGTAAACAATACAACCATAAAAGTTGCAGGCCTGTTTGAACAGAAGGTTAAACTAGGTATACTTCAATTGGTTCAAGAAGCCATCTCCATGCCTGTTCTTGTCTTTTTTATGTGCTCTATCATACTCTATGTTACTTCAATATACATTAACAATCAAAGAAAACCTACAATTTGCCCCATTCTTCTCAGCTTTTTCCCCACCCCTGATCCCAAGCAGAAAAAATTACACACCCAGTCTTCTCTAATGTTCATGGAAATCTCTGATGTATCATATTATTATGCTTGTTTAATACAATAAGTTGAGGTTAAAACAGAGAAGCCCCAAGAGAAATATCTGTTTTTTAAAAACACTATTAGCTAATTAGCAAGCCACAAAATAATCGCACCAAATGATTATCAGTTCACAACAGTATACACACCTTCGAGAGAGCAATCCAGTCCCCAATGGTGGCCTTAGCCTTTGACATCCTCACAAGGACATTCTACAGGAAAAGTACAGAAAACAGAAAAAAAATGACCAAACGATTAATTGTAACTTGTGTGTAACATTTTGGTCTTACTATTTCATACTAGCTAAAAACGTACCAATATATTGCAAGTGCAGGTAAATGTCCTTATACAAACACAGTTATGATTACTCCAAAATGTTCTTTGATCGGTCATGCTCATAAGGATGAACTTTGACCACCAAGAACTTCACAATTTGCTCATACATTTTTAAAAGCACTTCTATTTTACAACAGCTGAAAATATAACAATCAATTGGAAAGATGGGTGAATTTCTATTGAAACAAATGTAATCCTAATAAAAACCAACATTCTTCACATACACCTCATCCTTACAGACATGCATCTGAACACATAAACACAACATTTCTGTAGCTGAATTTCTGTGGTATATTTCGATTTCATAAATGCTAATCATTTTATCGAAGGGGCAGGCGAAAGTCTTATCCGACAAATACAACTAAAATGGCTCCATAAAAATCTCTAGAATTCTATGTTATTGCTAAATCAAAAAAAAACAAGCATTAAATGCGAAAAATGACCAGAAATAATAATTTTTAAAATGGTCTAAACAGCAACCAGGAAACGTATGCAGAGAACTCTGCAAAAAGAAAAAAGAAGACCATTTATTGCTCCAGAATCATACTTACAGGAATAAACTTTACATGCTTTAGACATCCATGAAGGCAGGAAACAACTTCCAAGTTTCTCGGAGTAAGGAAAAAAGATACTGCATCATGTCGCTGTCGTAAAAGGGCTGCATTTTTTATAGGCCTCAGAAACCAATGTCTGCAAACAAAACAATAGAAAAAAAATAGGGAAAATTTACATTTGTGAGGCAGTGTGGTGAAATCAAGTGCTCGTCAAAATAATGAAATCGATGAAACTGGCTTTTTTCCGCAGGTCTGGGAATTTTTATCAAATTTTTCTTTTTTAGTTCAACATCTTTCATACCCATTAAAAAACATACTTATGTGTGGTTTTTACTGAAAATCATTGATTAAAGGCATTAAAGATGTAAATTTTCAGTTTCCACGGACTCTCAAGCTAAGGAAATAACGCATTTGTGGCGGCCATTTTCTCGATAATTTTACCTCTGAAACTAGGCGATCCCCTCCTCCCTCAATTGCCAATATCTTGACTTTTATCCAAGATAAATGGAGATTTTCGCCATCAAAAGCAAGGCAATTGGACAGGCTTTAAGAGATACCATGACTCCATGTGACCCAAAGTTTACAAGGGCCTGATTCCACCGCGTTGTGACACATCTGAACTTCTTTTAATAAAGCGATATTCCTAGTCTGACAGCCAACAATGTCAGTATGGTGATTATTTTATATACATATATCTAAGAGACAAAGAGAGTAAAAACTGGTTTGTGATTATTGTTGAGTGTACTGAACATTTTATATAAAGATTATCAGCTCTTCTAGTCCATAGATCTTTAACTAAAATGGATTTTATGTCTCACATTCTTATTCCGGTATATTTCTATTCCATTTAAATGTAAAGAGAAGGCACATAAGACTTCTTGTCTTTGCAACTTTTCAGCAGAGTTGACTATTTTTTTGATCTAGTAAAATTCTTGATAAACCCCCATTTGTCCCCTTCAAGTCAGACGTTTGCAAAAAGTAACTCTCTTTTACTGTTCTCAGTACCAAATAATAAGGCAAAAGTTAAACCACTTTACTGCCTTACGAATATAGATAAAAGTTTCACTGTTACACAAATTTCCAAAGCTTCTAATAAAGAAACCCGTAATTTTCATTTTCAGTAAAATACATGTAATTAAGATAAAACACCATGAACATAAATGCACAGGCGAGATTATCCCTTCCAAAGTGGTAAAAGATAACAATAAAAGTACATATCCAGTATATGCTAATTTTATGGGGAAATATATCTCTTCAACAATTTCCTTTACTCAGAAGTATATGCCCCGGGGCGGTGCTACTGACTGAAGTGTCTTCAGGCCATTCCCAAAGGGGGGACATTAATATGTTCTTATTCACCGTAGAATTGTAAATTGTAAATGAGCTGATTCATCAATGTCACGCTCATTACTGTGCCTGAACTGAAACAGAGAACTGCTGCTTTTTCTTTCCTAATCCTTACTGTCGTCATTTTCCTCTACTTCTTTTGTATGTTTGTCACACTCTTGTGACCCGTTATTTCCGGGGTGCCTCGAAAGTCGATATAGACTTTGTGCTATGGAAGCTAGAGAGGTGAGCAGAGTAAGCCTGATTCCCTGTAAGGACTTCTCTGTTGACATCCACCCCTTGGCGCTCATATGACCTTATGCAGTTGTGAGCGTCGTAAAACCTGTACTAAAACTAAACTAACTCAGGAGTATTCTCGTTACTAGTCCAGTAACGTTAATCCATCTAAAACATTGTAAACTCCCAGATGAAACATGGGATGAAAGATCTGTCCCGCATCAAAACATGATACTGTCTGTGCTGTACTGGTCTACATTTGATAACCCGGTATGATGATGAATAAGACAAGTGTCTGCCAGAAAACACCAAGCGCAGTAAGGGCAAGAAAATATCAACATTTTGCCCCCTAATTCATCACTAAGTGTCATAAAAGATACTGCATGCATACCTTCACATTTTTTTTTCATCTTAGAACACAAGGAGTGGATTTTCAAACTGAATTTTTGGCAATAGAATAAGAACAGAAAGTCAAAAGCAAAACAATACAGAAACATCATCAATGTAACCAAAAACCATCAAATCAGTTACCGCAGCCTGCGAGTTCCATTTGCAGATTTGCATCTGTTAAGTATGCCTGAGAGACAGTAAAGCCAAAACCATCAGCATTTGACACAAGAAGATTCTCATGGTGAGAGAAGTATCAACAGTATCAGAAACAAATATACTTGTACCGGGAAAGCTTATTTTACAAGAGACAGAAAACAACTGTCCACAAATTTGTTATTTTACTCATCATCTATTGGGATTTTTCTAACTTTTTATGAAATGTACTTTAGCTTCAAAGGGTAAATTACGTATAGGTCAACACATGAAGGAAAGCCTTAATTTTCCATTATAAGACGAAATAAAATAAATTGGGGAAATTTTGAGACGTGTCCACTGTATGCCCAGCTACATCGATATATTCTTGGTATCAAAAATCAAGAAAGAGCTATTCCGGCTCCCTGTACAGATTCAAACATCAGACTCCCGCATAGCAGATCACGTTAGCAAACTACGTGTCAAAAAAGACAATATAATATCCTCTCAAGTCGAAAAAAAGGAGACATTAATTTGTAGAATTTCTATGTCAGTTTGATGTAGAAGACCTAAAACAGACATTTATATAGTTGACAATTACCTCCCTTCCTTTAAGATTCTGTGACAGACCAGACTTAGTGACGGTTAAGTATAAATACCACCCACCCCCCGCTCCCCGACCCCACTCCGATCAATTTCAAACTTCTTGACCAAGTGCACAACCTCAAGGCCAAGGAAGGTTTTACTTTACTTCTGTCTTGGTGACAAACTTGAAGCCTCAACCTAAAAACCAGTCAAGCCTTGATAACAGGAACTTGTTGTGACGGTATTGTCTGGTTTGAGTCTGCAATGGTGCGAGAAAGTCATGTTGCACTAAAAATATGTTTAGCGTGACAAAAAACGCACAACTTTGAAAACAAAGTACACAACTTGCTGTCCAAGACTGTATCCATTAACTACTGAGGGGGCAGGCACATTAAAGGCATCTGTAGTCTATAGAGCACTTCACCAGCACACATAGGACATGACTTTGATTCCTTAACAGGGAAGATATATTTTGGAGGACCTCCATTTTTCTGCCAAGAGGAACCCTAAACAGCCCTAGTCGACCCCAAAAGACAGAAATGATGCAGAATGTTTCCTTAAATATCTAAAGAGTGTTTAGGGTATCATAATGAACCATCACAGCAAAACACTGAGCTTCCTCAAATAAAACAGAAAACCATGGAAACTTGTCCTAACCAGCTCTGGTTGCCCCAAGAGGCAGGGAAGAAGCAGATCATCTCCTATGTCTTAACATCTTAATCTAAATATAGTGTTGACGTGGTCTCACAAATTTCACAACTAACACTGACATCCCCTACAATCATGGAAAACACTAGATGGTGTTCACTTGCAAATGTCTTGAGAGATGAGGCAACAAGTGAACAGAGACACAACAAGAGAAATCCCCCCCACTCACCAAACAAGCTGAGTCCTTCCTTACTCCCACTGGCCCCCAGTTTGAAGGCAGATGGGTGAAGCTCTTTGTGAAAAATGTTGAGGGCCGTGTATGTCAGCATATCTATCTGGACCTGGTCTTCCCTATACAGAGCAGCATAAACAACAGAGTAATAACAGCAGAAGTCTAGAAATCCATGTCAGTATGCACTAACAACAACTGATATCCAAGGAACCCCTATCATTCAAGATAAATATACAAAAACACTTGATTGCAACATTCTTCCCCCCACCCCCCGCCCACACACACACACACACACACACACACACACACACACACACACACACACACACACACACACACACTCACAAACACAAATTGAGTGATGATATACTAATTTGAAAAGAAACTATGCCTCTCATACATCAGAATATATTTCTTCAGTGTTACGCATGTGTACAGTTGTCATTTGTAATCGCAATGTTTTACACCTGAATCAAAACAATTTACGAAATGTAAGAGGCAGGCTGCTCCAACCCTGCTTGTCAGGGCCAACCCATGCTGAAAAAGATCCAGCATACACATGGGGGATATTTGAAAAATAACTTCCCCACTTAGATTGAACTCACATTTCTCCAGGCCACATCATACAACCAAACTGGAACACCACAGACGAATGAGCAAAATTTTAAAGCCAATTTTCTTAATAAAAGAAACAAATTATTTTAGTTGCCAGTACACAAAAAGTAGTGCAGTACATGTATATCTTTTGAATTACTAAAGATATTGAAAAAGTTAGGCAAACTTTTTTTTACATTTAATTTTGCCCAAGAGAATATTCCTATCCCCAAAACACATAGTGAGCTTGTTTTCAATTCACACACAAATAACAGTTCATATTCTTTCAAGAAAAAAGTCCATAGGGGTGACAGTCAGTGGGTTTGTAAAATGCAGGGAAAATTGAGTGAGCTGAAACACACATGGGACTGCTTTCTATGAGACGAGTCGAAATGAGTTAAAGTAGGTGAAATTGAAACTAATAATTCAACAAAACTTTTGGTGTTAACAACTTTGCATAGTTTGAACCTCTTGAAAGTACAGGTAACTACACTTCTAATTGATTAAACCATGCATGAGGTGAAGGAGAAAAATAAATCTGCTTCAAAGAATAATTTTCAGAAAAAGTATGACCTACTCACACATGAATATTCTATACGCAATAAATAGAAAAATATACAAACACATGCCTACAAACACAATCTTGGAATCTTTCGACTACTTCGTATAGGCTTCCACCATACAGTGGCAGTGGGTAATGGAGGGCTCACGGGCTTGAGCCCCCCTCCCCCCCCCCCCTCAACTCTATCCCAAAGCAAATGAAAATAACCAAATAAGCAGTTGAAACTGTTATGATCGCACGCAATGAACACACAGGAATCAACTTGATGGCTTGCTCGTTTATCCAATCACTATTGTCACCGCTAACAACTATAGTAACCTAATAGCCAATCAAATGTCTTTAGCGCTCAGCAAAGGACGAGCCCATTCCCACTGACCTCCTTAATGAAACCCCTCTTGTAAAAGGTAGAAGACATGAAAAAAATAACACTGCACAGGGGGCTCACGCTCTCCTGGCCCTGACAATGGGCTGAAAGTTTACGACACACTTTCTCCAAGTGACACAGTTACCTATGCACCCATTGAGCCTTTGTTAGGTGCGTTCTACTTTCTGCAAATACATGGCCTAATCCAGCTCATAAATGCTATAATATGTTTGGAGTGCTGTGTGTACATGTCTGTGTGTGTACCACTGAGATTTAACTGTTATTAATTACATCAAACCACTTTTGAGGCAACTTTTTAATCAGATAACAATTAATTAGAGAAATTTGGAGGACTAACGGCCTCGTCCTCATCATCCAGAGGAATTTAACGCACAAAAAAGAGATGGAAAATAAAGGTGACTCTTCTCGTTTGAATGGTTCTCAAAATGCTGTGGCTTGCCGTGAGTATAGAAAAACCATCACTGTTTTGTTCTTATTCCTTGATTTTTAGTGGTAAAGAAGTGGAAGCAACCTAAGCCCCGCCCAAAATTTGGTTCACCCACCACCACTGCCACCACATGACATTTTGAAAAGTGATGTATGACAGAGACTTGCACTGAGCAGTCAGTTTACTATCAGCCTAGTGTCCATACCGGGGACTACTGCTCCACCATCAAAAACATACACTGAGACAAGTAAGACCATAAATCATAAATCTCGCCTATAAAAAGCAAAGTATAACACACACACACACACACATACACACAAACACACACACTCACTCACTCTCACTCACACACAAACACACACACACACACACACACACACAAACGCACACACACACACCCCTTCTTTTCCCCATCTTCGCCAATCACAACAATCACAACATCACAACCCACTATTTCCTGTTCCTGTAACACAAAGCTGAAACCCCACTATGACTTCCACAGTGACCCCAGATTTTGAGCACAAGATCAAGCAGTTTGAAATAGGTGGCAGAAATATTTTGGTTTCACCATTTCAACAACAGCAACAATTATTAAATGACTGCATCAGGGCGACTCACAAGGAGAAGACTTTAAAGCCCAGCACAGGCACCCGAGTGGAGGCATCTTCTAGCTCCACACCAACTCTCATCTTTTCCAGGTGTCTTAGCAGGCCCCCAACACAGCGCACCTGAAATCACAAAAAGAGAACACAGAGAGGACTGAAATCTGTAGCAGGCTCATTAGTCTAGAGAGGTAGTTAGGCTCTCAGACTCACAACTGAAAGGTCGTGGGTTCAAATCCCGTCAGGGGCCCGACATTGTGTCCTTGGGAAAGACACTTTACACAAATTTTCCTCTCTCCACCCAGGTGGGAATGGGTATCCAGCTATAGACAGTAAAAGACCATGTCAGTTTGTTACTGTTTGAGCGCTTATTCAGCTGCTTGCACTGTATGCTTCCCATGAAGCTGAGAATGTTTCTGAGTGTTCTATGGTCTTCTTGGGTAATAATATATTGTAAAGCGCATGCAGCTCGCTGTCGAGCTGGGATATATGCTATACAAAAGCTATTTATCATTTATTATTATTATTACCTCTCATGCCAGAGCACTTGGTGTGATCCTGAGTTCATGTATTCAGTTTTCACTAAATAACCACCTTTACAAAATAACCAAAGAAGTAATCAGTGGTATCTTCCTTCATTGCGATATAACTGCCAGAATGGAAAAGGGGCCCTACATCTGGGGCAGAAAAACAGCCTTCTATGTAAAAACCAAATGTGTTGTGGGTAGAAGAGCCTCCAGTCAATTACATCGGGGACCAAGTGGGAGAATGTAAAAGAAGAGTTTTAGATTTAGAATGTGCATTCTTGAGAAATTTGTTTATTCTTAAAGAACACATTTTTTAAATTAGCTTAACATCAGGTCTGGTAATATTTGATCCAAATTAAAAGAGCACGATCTTTTTAGCGTGCCAAAGTTCATGTTTTTAAAAGTTGTACATTATCTTCATGACTTCACGTTGGTAAACATAAACATTTCCTTCTCCGATCAAAGCCACTGGTGCAATTTTTAGAGGTAGACATAATTTTAGCATTTCAAACAGACAACAGTGAGGAACGTAATATTATTTTAATATAAAATACATTTAGCGATGTCATCAATAGCCTCCTATATATCATGCATTGAAAAGTGGTTTACAATTTCATGAGATCATACATCAAAGCAGAGACGGAGGCCTATCGTCGCAATGAATGGGGCACCAATGGACGAACATGCAGGTGGTTGGTGGGTGCTCTAGTGTGGTTTACTCCTTTCCTGTCAAACATCTATTGTCTTTATGTTACTCGCTAGTAACACCTCTAATCTTTGGCACTTATATGATCTTATTGTGTTACAAGTATCGTAAAACTCTTACCAAACTAAGGATCATGGAGATAGGTGACGGTGATCTGCACTTGATAGTGCAACTATTTATTTTAAGGTTTAAACTTGCAGACAAAAGTAACTACTACCCTTCTTTGCACCAAACACATGCCTTAGCATGCAGGGCGTATCTAGTAGTCCACCTACAGGAGCTAAGGTGCATTGGTACAAGACCTCAAAAGTTGGAAAAAAACCAAAGGGGGACCCAAAAAATAATAAATTTTTACAATATCAAAATTTGCTTGGCACAGAGAAATCTTACATGAGCAACGATTGTTCCTGTAACAAACAAACAAGTCAGAATATGATACTTGTCTTAATGTTGACAACAAAAGTCTGGGGTAAAAAATTCACTTTTGAGGTAATTTTTTTAAGTTCATTCAAATGATTTGAACTTTAGTATGATAGAGCGCAGGATTCTTTCAACCCTTACCATGTTCACACTGTCCAGTGGAATAAGAGATGAAAAGTGGATACGCCTCTCTTCATCAGTGAAGTGTCCAGGTACTGATGGCAGAGACATGCCAATGATCCGTCGTTTGCTCACCTCGTAGTCTGTTAAATGTACACAATAAAAAAATTAAGCTTTCATCAAAGATGGTACATGCATACAAGGTTCAATATACAGCACTTTTGTTCAGATTTGGGAGAAAATACAAGCAGACTGCAAAGATTTTTTACAACTTCAAACAAGCCATACACAATTTACAAGACATATTTAACTTACACTTCCATAAATATTTTACAAGTAAAAGTAAAGTAATCGATATAAATATTCTGCTTGTGTTAAAGAGAAGCACATCCACACAACAATCATTTATAGCTAAGGAAAAAGCAAGAAAGATAGACAGACAGACCAATACAAGGAGAACACAGATGTAGGAATAATAGAGCAGTAGAATCCTCCAACCACTCACACAAATATTTAGCTACACTTTATCAAAAAAAGAAAAAAGTGAGACTTATACAAAGAAAAAATGAGAAGTTAAAGGGCACAGATAAGAAAACACACAAAGAGACTTACTGAAGTCTGACCTCGGTAGAAACTGTATCCTGTATGCTTCTCCATTTGAACCAGGACTTGTAGAATTCATATCAGTGGCTTCAGAAAAAGAAGGATTTAAACAGATATTAAAAGAAAAATATCAATTAACATATAACTCTAAAAATGTATCAATGAAGAAAGCATTTTTTGTTGTGTCGGGTCAAAATTTATTTTTTAACAAGATAGAAGGGAACTACACTTAATATTTCTGGCAGCATGAGACACAGAAAAAACTGATATACAGTCAAACAAAAAAAAAGAAAGAAAGAAAGATATACTTATTTTGTAAGGTCCTCAGATGGAATATAGAATACTGAGTTCGTTATTTTTGTCCATCATGTATCCATGTTATTCATCACAGCTTCATATTTCACACATGACAATAACACTTAATAAAGAATCACTGGGGTAAAGCATGCCTGTATTTTACAGGACTCTGAATTATAAATACACTGGGTAGGAGAGACGTCAGAGTGGGCAAAGTTTCATTTATATTATTAAGGCCTTATACTTACTTTATGAAAATATAAGCTAATCCTATGTTCTACTTCTATATATATGTGTCTACCTACTTTTTGTCTCAACTAACAGTAACTTTCAAGGAATCTCTGAAGCAAAAATTTTAAATTTTAGCAAGATATAGTCCCATTGCTGATGAATATCAGCTCACTCTGCTCCAATCTCGGCTACTAGCCTTTACAACATTAAGCAGGTTAATGCGAACAGCACCTGTGACCCACCGATAACAGGAACATAGCTTTTAGTAGTATTTTTGATGCAATGGTGAAGGGAACAAGGGCTTTGATGCTACCATTGACTTGAATTATAATATCCTAGACTGGGCACAGTCATGGCCACCGCTCAATAATTATTCTCTATAAAAATTTCCCTGCACTGGTATGCAGAATGGACACTCCAATAAAGGGCAAAACACTGGTCACACTTGTCAAGCGCGCTTGCAACTTTCCTCTCCTTTCCCGTAATTTGAATCCAAATAGAGTCAAACGGTGCACTTCAATGGGAAACAGAATTACATCAGGACTACCCTGTCTTGGATATTACAAAACAAGTCTAAGGATGCTTCAAAACAAGAGATGTCTTATATGGCAAATTCAATATCTACCTGTACCTATCTTTTTTTAAATACAGGTCAGTAATCACCCATGTCCTAAAGGGGCAAATATCAATATCTATCTGTACCTCTGTACCTATTTTTTTAATGCAGGTCAGTAATCGCGAGTCCTGAATTGAACTGACAACAATCACTGAAGGCTGGATCTGCTGCAACACTGTGAACATAAGTAAAATACATATTATTTTTTAAATCGTTGTGCCACATGTTTAAATATAATTATAATATTTACATATTTGGGATTTTCTTTAAAAATTACAACTTGTGACTTTTTGGTAGAAGACACTGAGCCAAAGATCAACAGATCAACAAAATGATGATAACACTGGACTGACAAAAACCCAAACCACTCAGAAAAACTTCTAGAAAAGAAGACCGCAATACTTTTAAATTAGCAGAGCACTATAATTTATGATACAAACAGTTTTCAAAGAAAATCAATATTTCTAAAAATCAAATTATTGCCTATGGCTAACTTTTATTTTAAAAATGTCCATGCCTGGTGGTTTTACCACAACGAAAGATTTTGTTCTTAAGTTGTTGCTTCACTGACTAGGCATTTCACGTCTACAAACATTCTACAATGGAAATTAGACATTTGAAACTGCTCTATGGGCGGAATATAACTCCCCACCAGCAGTTTCAAACGAGAAAGGTAATAAGTTACACCCAATCATGATTGCCATGAGAAAAAATTTGAAGTTCAGTTAAAATGCATCATGTATCACGAAGTAATCCCATGACAACATATCGACTGTTCAGTGTTAGACTCTGCAATATGCCATAATGGAAAGTGACGTAAGACAGAATCTTACACTGAGCAAGCCATATGAGATAAATCAATACAGTGAGCACAACAATTATAATACATTTTTGAAATAGCAGTGCATCTTAAAATACAAAATGTGCAACGTGTTAACGTTTTCTGTAAAAATCAACCTTAATATTCGACAGAGAAAAAAAAATATACCATTACTCCTGATTTATCAGCTTCACCTTACTCTAGCATTAAAAGCCAGTAGACCACTAAAAAATACTCTCAGAAGATGAAAATTAACATACAGTGTTTGATGAGAGAAAAATCATCTGTTTCTCTGACATCAGGCAAGACATAAATTTGGACATTTGTCAAGTCATAATGAGCTACAGCAAGATGACCACTGTGCCACACGATGCTCATGTACACCTGCAAAACATAAAAACAGTCAACAGAAATACTGGACCTTACCAACACATACATGATACATGTACTGTGACACACTGCTGACTGAAGATGTAAACAAGAAATAAAAAAGCCTATATATGAGTCCTCTTTTTCATAAATATTTTCATTTACATCCATCGTCGAACAGGCTCTACTAATCTACTATCCAAGATAATAAGCTGTACAAACGACCACTTCCCACTTCCCCTTTTGCATTTTTACTATTATAATGACATTGAATTTTTTTCTTTGATCTCACAGATTAACCTTTACTGAATAACTTAATTCAAAGAGCAATAGATTTAACCATCCAACCTTTCAGGACTTCTCACATATATATCTCATGAAAAGTGCCTCAGGAGGCTACTATTCCGTCTTCGTTCAGTCACCTGCATGCTTCTAAATAATTTATAAATCAAACACCCCACAATAAAAGCTTGTGGCTTCGCACAGAGACAAGAAGGGCATAATATGTTTGCCAGTAGCAGTTAACTAGGCCTTATAGCCATTTCGTGCAATTATGGGTCCCTGAGCAGTGGGACTATACATTGTCAGAATAACAAGGTATAGACATGGCGTAAACAGGAGAGGGGGTAAAAGATACCAAATTGTTATAACAATGGAACAAATTGAATCACAAGCTACCTCTGAACTCATAGAAACATCTGACAAATTCTGTCTCCTTTCCTCTGCCTCTTCTGCTTCATCAACAGCACTACATCCACTGATCCTGGCATCATGACTGAATTCTCTGTTCTTGAAGGGATGACTGATATGAACCTGATTACTCATTGCTGGAAATGTCATTTCCTTCTCATGAGGTCTGATCTCTGAAGTGAGGAGAAAATTTTTAAAAATTCAGTTGAGGTTTTCCTTCTCACTCTCAGTCTCTCCATCTGTTGCTGGTCTGTCTTTATTCGTTGGTCTGTCCGTCCCTCTCTCTTTCTCTGGCAAACATAAGAAAATTTGTTCACACACACACACACATACACACACACACACACACACACACACGCACGCACACACACACACAGACACACATGCACACTCAGATGTGAACACACACACAAAGAGTTCCCAGTTCTTTTTCCAGTTTGTGCAATTTATTTAACTATGTGCACTGCATTTTTTTTTCTCCATAGGTAGCCTACTTAAATAATTAGTAGGCCTACATAAAAAGATTTTTCTTCCACCATAAGGCCTACTGATTTTATTTAAATCTAGGAGTCCAAAAACCTAAAGAAATTTTACAGGTAAAAGTATGTGGTATGAATTTAAAAGGCAGTGTTTTCGAGAAACTCATAAACACAGAAGCCTTAATAGTCATGAAAGGCCATCACCCATGGTGATATTCAGAGCACACTTAAATGAAATAAAAGACTAATTAAAAAAGTCAATAGTAAAATATAGCAGACCATAGATGTATCACCCCCCCCCACACAAAAAAAACATTAAAAGAAGAAGAAGCACTTGGTTAACATGTCCGAAAATTTGAGCTTACTCCCAAGAACTAGAGAATAAATGTCAAATATTACACTTTTTAGGGGGTTTCATTCAACACATTCAGTGCTATTCACCAAGATATACAGTGGAACTCGGATTCAACAAGGTCGTCGGGCCTGACCTAAAATCTCGTTGAATCCGAGTGTTCGTTTTAGCAAACACGAGGTTTTGTGTAGATAATTACAGGCACTGAGCAAGTAATGTATAAAAAGAGAAGTCACAAGTAGTGCCTGAAATGTCTGCATATTATGAGCTGTGTAAAAAAAGACAGATTCGTTCAAATACACATGCCTGTGTCGTCTCGATTGTTTACCCACAAGTTGTGTTGCTGTGTAGAGCCTAGCATATGGCCAACTTTTGATTCCATAGACCAGCGCAATTCACTACGTAGATCTACGTCAAGACTAGCTTATTACTTATTATTGTAATAATAATCAGTTGCCGAGGGGGAAAAAAGACTCACGTTCAA